TTTTTTTTTTTCCGAGACAGGGTTTCTCTGTTGCTTTGGAGCCCGCTGTTGGAACTAGCTCTTGTAAACCAGTCTGGCCTGGAACGCCCAGAGATCCGCCTGCCTCTGCCAGATATGGAATCAGTCCTCTTAAATGTGAAGTCAAAGGTCACCCCCACAAACACACACACACACACACACACACACACACACACACACACACACACATATATGGGACAGGGTATCCCTGTATATTCCAGGGACCCTGACCTTCATGACGAGCCTTCCGCCTCCGTTTCCCAAGCACTAGGATTACAAGCCTGTCTACACCTAGTCCCATTATTATTTCCTTAAATGTATTCATATCTGGGTAGAGGGAAACACAGAAATAGTCTGAGATATGTGTATAAGTTTCGATCCCATATGCTCATATCATATATGAGGACAACTTTAGGGAAAAACAAAACAAGGACAGCCTCTTTTGAAATCAAAATTTTCTTCCACACACAAATATGACAGTATGGTGGCCATTTCCAGGTAGGCACATTTTACCCAGATATTCACTTGTTTCTGGTATTCCCTCGTGTGTGTGGAGGCACGCTCACCCATGAGTGTGGGTGTGGAGGCCAGAGGCTGACGGGGGGGTGGGGGGGGGGTGGGAGGGCTTCCTCTATCATTTTCCACCGTATTTTTTGAGAGAGGGTCCCTCACTCAGCCTGGTTGGCTCAGCAGGGAGGCCTGGGAATCCTTCAGTCTCTACTCCCCAGTGTGCTGAGATCACAAGGCACACACCTCAGTGCCTGGCTTTCAGATGGGTGCCAGGATCTGAGCTTAGCAGCAGGCACTCTATCCACTGAGTCATCCTCAGTCCTCTGGAATTCCCTCTCTAATGAGATTCCCAGAGGGGAGTCAGGGCCTCCTCTCACACCCTCAGGATGCATCTAAACCCTGCACATGAACTGCCCTCAGCTGAGAAAGCCCTGGGCCTCATGACGGACTGGGAAGGAGGCGAGGGACATTTCCCCGTCTTACCAGGGCCTGGGTCCCTGCAAATAGGGTGGCCCCACTGCCTGTCTTCTCACACCTGGCTCAAATGTGTGACAAAGACAACTGAGAGCCCAGC